TCATTTAACGTATAGTTTGCGTGGGTCACAATATCTCAACAAAGCAAGCTTGATGGAGGAACTGGAAAACCGCTTCAGGATGAATCTTTGTCTCTTTGAGAAGGAAAGGGAATCCAAATTGAGGAAGAGGAATGTGGGGACTTGTGGAAGGGTTCACAGCTACCGCTTGTACTCAAAAAAGAAAAAAAGAGTCTTAAATAAATGCGATAATAATCTTATCCCAATTTGTTTAGTCAAGTATGATAATGGGTATATTCAATTTAGATCTTAAAAGATTTAAAGAAGTTTAAAAGTTTAGGTGTATTCAATCACGATTTTATAGAAATCTATATAATATAACATGGTCTATCCAATTCAAATGTAATCCATTTACAGGCCCGTTCATTTTTAGGGTTTCACAGCCTATAAAAAGAGTTTACCTTCGCATATTTTTTCCTTACAGTTCCCATACAGCGAATTAGAGCGAGTCATAATACAATACACCAAGTTGCGGGCTTTATTGTGGGTGCTTGGTTAATGGCTTGTTGCATGTCTATTGTAATAGCAAGGGCGTGAGGATGACTATCTCCTAGTATAGTAAGTTGAGTTTGTATGATGTGATATGAAGAGAACATCACCAGGAAGAGGAAGGGAAGAGACTTGGATCGATCGACGACATAAGAAAAGGAAGGAAGCAGAAGCAGAGATGGATTTCATCAGCACGTTGCCTGCAGAGTGCATCTCCCACATTGTTTCCTGTACAACCCCTCTGGATGCGTGTAGATCATCCCTGGTCTCTTCCCTCTTTCGAATTGCTGCGGATTCTGATATCGTGTGGGAGAGATTTCTTCCCCAAGACCAAGAATATAAGGAAATCATTTCCACTTCTCCCAACTCCTTGTCCAAGAAGGATCTCTACTTTCATCTTTGCAAACACCGCATCGTCACAGGCAATGGTAACATGGTAATTAACTCAAACCCCATTCATTCATTTTTCTAAATTTCTATGATTTCTAAATTTCTTGATTCTCTTGGGTCACCATTTGGTGTTAGATACTAGCTAGGTTACTGTGTGGCATGAATAGCTAGGTTAATTCATGAAAAGACTGATCCATGATATCAATGGCTACCTGTGTTGTGCAAAATATTAACAGTATTACTTACGTTAATTATGAATAATGGACGACAACATCCTAGCTTCTTTTTCTTTGACACAGATCACGGCATTACAAAAGCAGAGTGGCAAAAGAAGTTATATGCTAGGGGCAAGAGAGCTTACAGTTATATTGGAAGATACACCAAAATGTTGGCAATGGATATCTATACCAGAGTCTAGGTATTCTCTCTCCAGTCTCCACCAATATCTTACTAAATATCACTTATATTTTTTTCGTGATTTACCTTGTGAATGTGTGATTTTTTTGCCTTTATAGTGAGTTTGTGGGGTTTGACATATATAATGTCGTCAAAATGAGAAAAACTTGTATATCTAGGGAATAGTAGTACTGTTTTGCTATCCCCAAACAATTATATTTTGTCATGCATGATAACTTTTTCACATTGCGGAATGCAATTGGATGGGGATAGTAGAAGAGTGATATCCCCATGATATACAATTTCTTCTCCCTCATGATATACATAAGCATGGTTATGAGAAAGTAAAGTAGCTATGGCTTACCTTCAATCCCTGACATGATACTATCACTGAGTGGAGTTTATAGTCATAGAATATTGTATTGACATTTTGATGCTGCTTGACATCACAGGTTTTCCCAAGTGTCTAAGCTCAATTATATATCCTGGCTTGACATCAAGGGATACATAGAGACTAAAAACTTGTCCCCAAGAACAACCTATGCAGCGTATTTTGTCTATCTGCTCACATCAGAACACGTTATGTGGACACCAAAAATTCCAATTACGTCGCGCGTCGCTTATGAAAAAAGTGCAGTTGCGGTTGAGCATAGTCTGATCCTAGACCCTCTATCTTATGGAGGCCGCCGTAGTGTGACACTATACCCTCTAACTTTTGAAGGTAGAGTTGGTCCGCAAGCTCGATACAGACTTGATGGGTGGATTGAGATTGAGATGGGTGAGTTCGTCACTGAAGAAGATAATGCTACTGTAGTGTGTAGTTTAATGGAAACTAGTAGTATCTGTAAGAGAGGCATCATTGTGGAAGGCATTGAGCTTAGGCCCAAACAATGAAGGATTGATTCATTGTGGAAGGCCTTGAGCTTAACTGAGACGCTGCATTTCATTTAACATTCATTCAAAATAATCTTCGTTGCTCATCCAATTTTATTGTCAAGTGCTTAACTTATGACTACACTATTATTTCGTAAAAATTTCTCCCTTCCTATGTTTGGCCGCCATGTGGCAGACGCAACATTAAACTAGAAGTCACTTTAAATAACAAATTTTGGCCTTGGAAGCCCCCTCTAGTTTGCCAATTTTGTCCCCAATTGCGCTTCATTTGTATCCAACAAATGTTTGAGCTCTTTAGTTTGACATCAACCCAGTCAATTAGTGGCGGAGCTAGAATTTTTAGTAAATTTGGCTTACACCCTTCAAATTCAATTTGCTATACCTAAAACCCTTCACTTTTTGTTCCTATAAATAATACCCAATTTGTATAAGTAAAAACCCATGACTAGGATCCAACTCAGCAAGTTACCTAATTAAGCATAAAATCTGATTTATTGTACTTTTCAGATTCCAAAAATACCCCCAACTAAGCCATTATTGCATTTTGTATATTAATGTAGGAATCAATATGGAAACAGTTTTTAATTGGATTGTATATAATGACAGATGTTGAATTTGGAAAGATCTCCAAATGGTTGTAATGGATGTAGGAATTAATTTTGGAACATTTTAAAAAAAAACAATAAATTCAAATTTGGGTAATTGGTTTGTTTAATAAAATGTTTATGTTATTTTCTTTTTATGAATTATACATGACTAATAATCCACTTTATAATTGTTTATGAATAAAACTGTACATACTAATTATGTTGAAAAAATAATGTACCTATTTGTTTTATGAAAAATATAATTTACCTAGTATGAAAAGTGTACATAATTATCTATTCCAATATACCTACATTAATTTTAATGTACTTACAATTAGGATTTAGGTATTATATGTCATCCAATGTACCTACCATTTGAATAATATACCTAATATGAATAAAGTACCTATTATTTATCTAAATAATGTACCAATTTTTTTCTATAAATAATATAGCCTTTTTTCTCTGAATAAAGTACCTATTATTTGTTTTATTAAACGTAATTTTTTTAAATGAACCTATTTTCTCTCTCCAAATAACTTACCAATTTTTTTCCTCTAATAATGTACCTATCTTTCCTCTCCAAATAATGTACCTATATTTTATATAAATTATTGTGTACCTATTTTTAATTATGAAAAATATACGCAATTACAAAGTAACTTTTTTTTTTTTTTTTTTTGGTAAATAATATACCTATATTTTATATGTATATATTTATATTATATTTTTCATAGGTACATTATTGGATATGTAATTTACAGATTTTTTTGTTTGTTTGCAATTTTAGGGGGCGAGATGTGAGAGGGAATGACAACTAAAAGAAATGGGGTGATTGATATGCTATTAATAGGGAGTATATTAATTACAATTATGGCAGTTAATGAAATGCTTGAAATAAATTATAAATAAAATATGAAGTTTAGTGGCAACGATGTAAAAACATAGAAATACTACGACCTCTTATATCCTACTGGTAATTTAAATTTGAAATTGGGTTTTACACATAGATTTATAGAGTGATGGGTATATGTCTAAGAAATAGAAAATGTATGGATCTATATTGGACAAGCATATGTGGGGACATCTCATAAAATATATAAAAAATTCAAACCAACAATAGCTACCAAAGTAATCGGGAGGACCAAAGCATTTATAAAAGCATTGGGTAAATTTTGACTTTTTTTTTTTAATTATAAAAAACTCAGGCTAGACCTCATTAACAAGTTTTTTTATTTTTTATTAAAGACCCCATTGACAAGTTATTAAAAAAAGGCATGAATAAAGACCCCATTGACAAGTTATTGAAAAAAAGGCATGAATAAAGACCCCATCGACAAGTTATTTTTATTATTAAAAAAAAAAAGGCGTATTCACCCCCAATGTTTGAGTTACATGTGTCGCCACATCCCCAATGCTAGAGCAGATCGTGAATTTCCCTCGGTCCCTTCCCGTCGATTAAAATTAAAATAAATATATAAAAAAAGGTTTTTGTTGGTTAAGTGGGTTGACTTGAATTGGAATTGTGCTCAACTCTATGAGTAAAGAGAGACGATCGACATAAGAAAATGAAGGAAGCAGAGATGAGTATAATCAGTATGCTGCCTGCAGAATGTATCTCCCACATTGTTTCCTGCACAACCCCTCAGGACGCGTGCAGATCATCGCTGGTCTCTCATCTCTTTCGAATAACTGCGGATTCTGATTTTGTGTGGGAGAAATTTCTGCCCCAGGATTATGAGGAAATCATTTCCAGTTCTTTAAACTCCTTGTCCAAGAAGGATCTCTACTTTCATCTTTGCAATCACCCCATCATCATAGGCAATGGTAACATGGTAATTAACTCAAACCCCATTCATTCATTTTTTTTACTAAATTTCTATGATTTATCACTTTTCCTTCAAGAATCAAGAATTCTCTTGGGTCATCATCACCCATTGCCATTGGATTCTAAGATTTCATAGGTTTTAGATACTGGGAGATTTTTGCAATTTATGTAGTAGAAATCTCATTCTTTGATATGCTTTACTAAATTTGCTATTTTATTTATTTAAGAAAAAAGAAATTTTGTTTGACAATATTAGATAATTCATGAAAAGACTGATGATCCATGATATCAATGGCTATGGTTACCTGACTGTTGTGCAAAATGTTAACATTATTTACTTTAATTATGAATAACGGATGACAAGATCATCATCCAAGCTTCTTTTTTTTCTGACACAGAGCATGGCACTAGAAAAGAAGAGTGGCAAAAAATGTTATATGGTAGGGGCAAGAGAGCTTACAGTTATATGGGGAGATACACCCCCATATTGGCAATGGATATCTCTACCAGAGTCTAGGTATTCTGTTCTCTCTCTCTCTCTCTCGCTCTCTCCACCATTATCTATGTGATTCATATTGGCAACGTGAATCACATGACAGGTTTTCCGAAGTGGCTGAGCTCAATTATGTATGGTGGCTTGACATCAAGGGATACGTAGAGACTAAAAACTTGTCCCCAAGAACAACCTATGCAGCTTATTTTGTCTATCAGCTCTCATCACAAGACAATCCAGAGACTGCAGCAACTCCTGTTACGTTGCGTGTCGCTTATGAACATAGCGCAGTTGCGGTTGAGCATAGTGTGATCCTAGACCCTGTAAATTATGAAGATACAGCTCCTCCGCATGCTCGATACAGAGGCGATAGGTGGTTTGAGATTGAGATGGGTGAGTTTGTCACCGAAGAAGATAATGCTACTGTAGTGTGTAGTCTAATGGAAACTAGTAATTACAACTGGAAGAGCGGCCTCATTGTGGAAGGCATTGAGCTTAGGCCCAAAGAGTGAAGGAATTCACAGGAGGTAGTGGGAGTAACATTGCCTTGCCATTTCTCATCGTCTTGTAGGCGCTTCAGTCTTTTCTTTTGGTGTGTCCTATGAAATTATTGTCCAAAACTTGCCTAGTTTTCTAAAATTCCCAGAGATAAACTAGTAATGGTTTATTCTAATGTATTTTTTACTAGTTTGTATGATAAGATTTGTGTTTTTTTTATAGGTAATGTGTATTGTGGGCACAAATAACCTTTACCATTGCATCGATGATATTAGTGTTCTTTTTTTTTCCCCGACTATTCAGGGTTGTTTTGTGATAAAAACGCGGTTAGTGAACTTGGTGAGAACTGCAGGGAGTCTTTCAAAATTTTAATTTGTGGGATTGTTTCTTTACAGTTTTGACCTTATTTATATATTTTTTTGTACAAGCAATATTGGTGATGAGGAATCCAACGTACAACCTAGAATGCAGAGGTAAATACTCTTAACCACTTGAGTTACAAACCCCTGTTACCTTTCTTAATTAATGCAGGGGAAAAAAAATATTTATTTAAAAAATAACATTGTTAAAACTTAAACGCGTTACGCGTATTGATAAACTTTGAGATTGAGATTGAAACAAGGAAGTGACATCCGGTGCAGGGAAAAACGCTAAAAACAGAAGCAAATTGCAGACCATTCAACTTACCAACCATATTTGGCCTTTCCTTCAACCAGTGATTCAACATATCCAATTCCTTCTCCATACTTTCCATTCCATTTCATCTTCTCGCCTCCATCTCCCCGACATGGAATTATTCCGTACTTGTTATTTTTACGTGCGCCGCAAGTAATCCGTTAATGTTAAATGTGGTCATTTGGGTCTTGTAGCTAAAATACAATCGGAAAAGCATCACAACATCAACAGCACAGATATGGCAACTTCATCAAACTCATCAAAGAAAACAATGTCGTCCTCACCCTCATCTGCAGGCCGTCCACCGCAGGGGGTCAAATTTGCCCGCCGCACGTCCAGTGGGCGTGTGATGAGCTTGTCTCGGGACGACGATTTGGACATGAGCGGGGAATTCTCGGGCGAAAATGACTACATCAATTACACCGTGATGATGCCCCCTACACCGGACAACCAGCCAATGGCGGGGTCATCAGGCGCCGGAACGGCCTCGGATTCAAAAACTGATGGTCCTGGGCTATATGGGCCATCACGGTTTGGAGCGGAGTCTAGGCGAGGGGGCGACGATGATGGTGGGGGTGATAGTGAAGCTGCAAAGGCGGATAGGAGAATGTCAGTGATGAACTCATCTAATAACAAATCAATACTGTTGAGAAGCCAAACTGGGGACTTTGATCATAATCGTTGGTTGTTTGAGACCAAAGGAACGTATGGAATTGGAAACGCATATTGGTCAGAGAAGCAAGAGAACAAGTATGGACCGGAAGTCGAAATGAGCATGCAGGATTTTATTGACAAACCATGGAAGCCACTCACCAGGAAGGTTAAAATCCCCCCTGCTATTCTTAGCCCTTACAGGTACCTACCTGCTTCATCAATAACTAGCTCCTTAACAAACAATTCAATTATTGTGTCCATTAATTAATGAAATCTCACAAAAAGATACAAAGTCAAGGGGATTAAAAATAAGATAAGAAAGTAACGAAATTGTAGCTCAAGTGGTTAAGAGCATCCCAGGTTTCGTTTACGATTCCCTCCCCAAATATGGCTTTGTAATAATTGGGTATACCCAAAAGATCCGACTATAGAGACAGAATGCCTTCCCACCAACTAAGAGAAGAAACAATCATTTCCATGAGGAGCCAAGGCATTAGCAGGTCCAGCATATTTAATTTGTACATATATGCAGGTTACTGGTGGTCATCCGTTTGATAGTACTGTTCCTTTTCCTACTATGGCGAGTCCAGAATCCAAACCCGGATGCAATGTGGCTATGGGGCATGTCCATAGTTTGTGAGATTTGGTTTGCATTCTCATGGCTTTTAGACATTCTTCCCAAGCAGAACCCCATAAATCGTGCCACGGACTTGGCTGCTCTACATGACAAGTTTGAGCAACCTTCTCCCACCAACCCTACTGGGCGCTCTGACCTCCCCGGTGTTGATGTCTTCATCTCCACTGCTGACGCTGAGAAGGAACCACCTCTTGTCACTGCCAATACCATTCTTTCCGTCCTTGCCGCTCAATATCCCGTGGAAAAGCTTTCATGCTATATTTCAGATGATGGTGGCGCCATTCTCACCTTTGAGGCCATGGCCGAGGCTGTTAACTTTGCTGAGGTTGGTTCAATATTGTAATTTCATTAGTGGTGGTAAAAAATTAAATAATGACATGAAACTTGTCATGCAAGTAAATTTCTTATCCAAAAAATAATCATGCTATCCTCACAAGAAGAAAAAAAAACATAAATAAGTAGTCATGCTAATTGAATTAATTTGATTCCTGTCAGTTAATTAGTTCTAGCTATATATTGTCCAAATATACATACATACATTCATATGCACTGCAGGTTTGGGTACCCTTTTGCCGAAAACATGAAATTGAGCCTAGGAATCCAGACAGCTACTTTAACAGCAAAGTTGACCCCACCAAGAACAAGAAGCGGCCTGATTTTGTCAAGGATCGCCGTTGGATCAAGAGAGAATATGATGAATTTAAAGTTAGGATCAACGGTCTTCCTGATGTTATCCGCAAGCGAACTGAAATGTATAACTCTAGAGAGGACATGAATGAAAGGAAGCTTTCCAAGGAGAGAAGTATTGGTGGAGGTGGAGATGGCGCAGAGCCAGCGGATGGTGAGGCAAGCAATGTCACTAAGGCAACGTGGATGGCTGACGGGACACATTGGCCAGGAACATGGCTCGAACCTTGCGCCGATCATAAAAAAGGAGACCATGCTGGGATCTTACAGGTGATGGATATATAACAATAACCTATATATATGTATGTATATCTCTAAAACAAGTCCTAAGAGTTTGAACCTCAAATATAATCGTGAACATACATGCAGGTAATGAGTAAGGTCCCAGAGATGGAGGCTGTAATGGGTTTTCCTGATGAGAAAAAATTAGACTTCACAGGGGTGGACATTCGAGTCCCAATGTTTGCATATGTTTCGCGAGAGAAGCGACCTGGATATGACCACAACAAGAAGGCAGGAGCCATGAATGCCATGGTCCGAGCGTCAGCAATATTGTCTAATGGTCCCTTCATACTTAACTTGGATTGTGACCATTATATCTATAATTCTCTGGCTATAAGGGAAGGAATGTGCTTCATGATGGACCGGGGTGGAGACAGGATTTGCTACATACAATTCCCTCAGAGATTTGAAGGGATCGATCCATCTGACCGTTATGCAAATCATAACACAGTCTTCTTTGATGGTAATGTTTGATCATGCATGCGTGACTTTGGCTAATTAATTGAATTTGATATATAGCTAAACTGAAATTGAAAGTGATGACACTGCTTGGATATAATTATGTAAAACAACAGGAAATATGAGAGCCCTGGATGGTCTCCAAGGCCCAGTGTATGTGGGAACTGGGTGCATGTTCAGGCGTTTTGCACTGTACGGGTTCCACCCGCCAAGGGCAAATGAGTACTTAGGAATGTTTGGGACGATCAAAGCCCCAGCTCCAAATTACCATGAGATTGAGGCGCAGTTAGAGTCTGATCCAGATCTACCCGACTCAGAAAAACAACCTCTGGCCACTCACCCTGACTTAGGCCTTCCCAAGAAGTTTGGAAATTCACAAATGTTCACTGATTCCATAGGCGTTGCTGAGTATCACGGACGTCCTCTTGCTGATCACTCCTCTGTCAAGAATGGCCGCCCTCCCGGCGCTCTGCTCGAACCACGTCCCCCACTCGATGCCCCAACTGTTGCTGAAGCAGTTGCTGTCATCTCCTGCTGGTAAGTGGTACATAATCTATATATGCATATAAACCAGTTGAAAGAAGCACTTTTCTAGCTCTAGACCAGTTATGTAGACTCTTCCTTGTTTCGCAAAACATTGTGATCATTTGGGTTAATTAGTTTATGTTTGCACACACAGGTACGAGGACAAGACCGAATGGGGAGACAGGATAGGTTGGATCTATGGATCAGTGACAGAGGATGTGGTGACAGGTTACAGAATGCACAATCGTGGTTGGCGGTCAGTGTATTGCATCACGAAGCGTGATGCATTCCGTGGCACTGCACCTATCAACCTCACAGACAGATTGCACCAGGTGCTCCGATGGGCCACTGGTTCAGTGGAAATTTTCTACTCCAGGAACAATGCATTTCTTGCATGCCGGCGCCTCAAGTTTCTACAGCGTATTGCATACCTCAACGTCGGCATTTATCCCTTCACATCCATCTTTCTGGTTGTTTACTGTTTCCTCCCTGCACTCTGCCTCTTCACAGGTCAATTCATAGTTGCAGGCCTAAGTGTCCCCTTCCTTATCTACCTCCTTATCATCACTATCTGTCTCTGTCTGCTCTCCCTACTTGAAGTGAGGTGGTCTGGCATTGGCCTTGAGGAATGGTGGCGTAATGAGCAATTTTGGCTCATTGGTGGAACAAGTGCTCACCTTGTAGCTGTCATCCAGGGTCTCCTCAAAGTTGTAGCCGGTGTCGAAATTCACTTCACCTTAACCTCCAAGTCTACAGCTGAAGACGAAGAAGACATTTACGCTGACCTCTACGTTGTCAAATGGACAAGTCTGTTCTTAATGCCTCTGACAATCATAATCATCAATATTATTGCAATGGTCATCGGAATCTCAAGGACCTTATACGAAGTGATACCCCAATGGAATAAGCTACTCGGAGGACTTTTCTTTAGTTTCTGGGTGTTGGCTCACATGTACCCATTTATGAAAGGCTTGATGGGAAGGAGAGGAAGGATACCTACTATTGTATATGTCTGGGCAGGGCTGCTTGCAATCATAATATCTTTGCTTTGGATAGTAATCAATCCTCCAAATGGTGTCAACCTCAACAGTCAAGGCATGCAGATATGATGATAACAAAATTAAGGTTATACAAACTAATGTCAAGAATTTTCAGGTTGAATTCGAAGAAAAAAACTTTCGAACTTCAGGTGGCATCCATTGCTTGGTGCCATGACAAATGTACTATAAGTCTATTATAAGTACAGCTACTAGTGTTAGATAATTATTCCTACAAATTCTCTGTATATAAATTTTCCAAGATTAATATAAGGTACAAATCTCTGATGTTTAGACTTGACAAAAATCCTATATTTCCTGACTTAAGTTTCTTTTTCCCTTTTCTTCCCCTCTCTACAGGGAAAGGGGGTCAAAGATTTAATTTGCACATTATGCTGGAAGTTCATTTGTGTTTTTCTTCTTCAGATGCTTACCCTTTTCAATCCTTCATTTCTTTTTTCTCCTTGCTACTTTACCTGTACTTTCTTAGTGGGTGAAGAACCATTGACGCTTGGTAAAACCATTAATTTAACATCATAAATTCTTTATTATTTGAACATTCGAAAAAGGACGTCGTCTCTGTTCCTAGTAACATTTAGGAAAATGATAACTTGGCTACTTCGATTCATTCAGCAGGAAAAGTGTTGGAGTTTTAAGGTCCTAGGTGAGTAGAGGTAATCAAGAGAGTGAAAAAAGGAACGTAAAATGCAACAAGAGAGTAACTCAACTGCCCTGCCTGCAGTATATAGATGCATGAACCTAGCTAATAACATGCAACATCTGCATTCAAGTGACGAAGAAATTGGACGCAATCAAAGAAATGTCATTCGAGAAGAACTCGAGAGAGAAAAGGATGACAAAAATAAAAGAAGAGAAAGGGCACTTGTTGTTCTATCTATAATAGTAAGACGCAGAAGAATAAATATTACCTTCTCATACATCTAGGACGGTTCAGTTTTAGAAGCCAAGTTGATGAAACCCTAGCAAGTACTGGGATTTGACTGCCTCCCATTTGAGACATGTTTTCTGAGTTGCCAATGTTCACGGCATATGCCTCACACTCCTCCCTCATCAGCTCTAGCAGATAGCAATCTCCTAATTAATTTCTGACCCTAAAAATTCTGGTTTCCTTTTCAAATGTACACAAATTGATTACAAGATTATAAATGTGGGCAAAAATCCTTTTTAATTATGCATCTAATTATGATAGGGAAAATAGGGATGGGTGCGGTCCGGTTTTATTTGATTTAGGTTAAGTAAATCAAATTAATTCATTTTAGTGATCGGTTTGGTTTGGTGATTTCTCGTTGTATGTATAACCAAGCAAATATTCTATATTCTCGTTGAAAAAATGGGAACAGGATAGGAAAGGAGAGAGATTAAAAAGGAAAAAGAAAAAAGAAGATGGAATGTTTGCTATTTTTACAAATGAGTGAAGGTTGAGACATTTGTTGCGACCGCTACCAGTGAGAAGCGGAGGAGCAGGACAGCCTTATTTGGGGGGCTTCCCGCCTTGGTCTATGCACCCTTCATTTCCGTTCAAACAATATTTTATTTATTTATTTATTTATTTTTATTTTATAAAGAAACTCATACATGACACACTTTACGCGTAACTCTGAAATTCCAAAGCACAAAATAATACTTCATCACATCTCGTGTTCCATTCCATTCCACGAAATTAAATTCAAAATAAAAATGAGAAAAGAAAAGAAAAAATAAACAAACAAACAAAACACACACACTTGAAAGAAAAATAAAAAAGTATATAGCTCTTTCTCCCTGCGTAAATTCAGCATTTTCGTTCTTCCATAACGTCTCTCTCTCTCTCTCTCTGCGTAAATTCACATTCCCATTCGGATTAGGGTTAGGGTTTGTTTATATTGGAATTGAGATGGGGCAACAATCTCTGATCTACAGCTTCGTCGCTCGAGGCAGTGTGATTCTCGCCGAGTACACAGAGTTCACCGGCAATTTCACCTCCATTGCCTCTCAATGCCTTCAGAAGCTTCCTTCCTCCAACAACAAGTTCACCTACAATTGCGATGGCCACACCTTCAATTACCTCGTCGAAAACGGCTTCAGTGAGTCCCCCATGCATTTACATGCCCTTCAAATGATTTCTTACCAATGTCTGATTCTTCTCTTGGATTTGTTCATTATCGTCGGCTTTGATCCATGCGTTTTGTAATTTGTTTTTGTTGGAATGAATATCATATGCATATGTATCTATGATTATGCAAACGCTGATTGCGTTGATTCTTTTTAAAGCAAATATTTTGTAACTATATGGTTGCATGGTATGCATTCAAGATTGGGTGACTAAGATTCAAGAGATGATTGTTGGATTGCGGCTGCGTTTTTTTAATTGCAGTATTAGTTTTCTTAGTCAATTTTACATATCAACAAAAAAAAAACATTGTGCATTTGATTTGATTGAAGCAATTTCCAACTCCGCAATTTGAGTTGATAATCCTTGTTTGTAAATTGCAAGGATAGGTTTTGAAATTGTCTTTGTTTTGGATTCTGCAGCCTACTGCGTAGTTGCATCTGAATCTGCTGGCAGGCAAATTCCAATTGCCTATCTGGAGAGAGTCAAGGACGATTTCAACAAAAGATATGCTGGTGGGAAAGCTGGAACTGCTGTTGCCAATGGACTGAACAGAGAGTTTGGGTATTCATCTTATGATGTCTTTTTCATGGCGATGAATATTGTTCGCCTTTTTTTTCTTCTTGGAATATGCTTTGCTTAACACTTATATGGATGTTTTAGACCTAAACTGAAGGATCACATGAAGTACTGTGTGGATCATCCTGAAGAGATCAACAAGCTTGCAAAAGTGAAGGCTCAGGTTACTGAGGTCAAGGGTGTTATGATGGACAATATTGAGAAGGTCGGTGTTCTGAATAAGGGTGTGGTTGTGGTTTTGATTCCTGAAAGTTAGTAAACATTACTAACAGGAACAACTCAATTCCCATTCTGAATTTCTCATTCCAATTCCTTTTCATTCTGATTCCAAGTAGGTAAATATGTCATCCATTTTTAGTCATGGAAATTCATGTATTCTGCAGGTTCTTGACCGCGGTGAGAAGATTGAGCTGTTGGTGGACAAAACTGATAATCTTCGCTCCCAGGTAGTCGAAGAAGCATAACTTATGTTTAGATTATTAGGTTTGGGTGATGGAGAGTGATATGGTTTTCTCTCCAAGTTTTTATATTTATTTTAAAAATCATCTTTTAATTTCCTTTCCTCTTTTGTGCTGTTGATATGGCGTTTTTATATGTTGAAAACAATGGTGTGTTTGTGTTGTAGGCCCAAGATTTCAGGACACAGGGAACGAAAATGAAAAGGAAGATGTGGTTTCAGAATATGAAGATAAAATTGATCGTTGTGGGGATCATCATTCTCATAGGCTTTGTGATATTTTTGTCAATCTGCCATGGTTTTAAGTGTACCTAAGTTTGCATCGGAATATGTCCATGGACGCTTTCGTGCTGTCATGCGGCATTGGTAAATTGCTCTATCTCTTTGATTTGCTTACCTTGTTAGGTTATGCCCGTCCTGTTTTGCTAGCCATTTTAGGATGGGGTGGGGGGAGGTTTTGTATGTTTTTTTTTCGCACTGGTTGTTGTATAGTTTATATATTTGTCGTTGTCGTTGTGTAGGGTAGATAAAATCAATCACTATCATATATGTGCTCCATGTAATGTAATGGATCCTTAATTAGCTTAAGATGTAATGGAGGAATGCTTGGATGATTGTAAATCAGCATCCCCTTTCGGAATCCTATTCAAATCTATTCCCTTATTTGCTTGCTTCTCGAATCTGTTTAAAACTATAACTATGAGTTTTAAAGCCTGTTTTTTTAGAAAAACAAATCCATAAAAATCACGGGGCTACATAGTTTTTGGTGCTCAAAATCTCATGGATTTTCAAAGACTTTATTAAGCGGTAGACTTTGCTTTGGAGTGTGAGTTATAAACTTCAAAGTAAAGAAAAGTCATAGAGCTCTCCAGCCTTCTTCTCTCAATTTTATATGTCTTCAATACTTGTCATAGAGATCCAAACTTTCCCACTATCATATCATTGTAATCTCTCTTTCTCCAAGTTTTTATTTTTTTTATTTTTTTTGTCACATAAGATTAAAAAAAAAGTAATTCATAACAAATAAAGATTTAGAGAGACATTCATGACTATCACCCTACCTATGGCCATTCTCGATAAAACGACTCAATATTTGCACGAAATTTATGCCGGTGAACTCAAATAATGAAAAATTCAGATCAATTCACTAAAACACACGATTATAATCCTTCATATTTTGAAGAGCCAATCAATTTTCATATAATTATATATGAGTAACATTATTGATAAATTATTAACATTTAATAGATTAAATGGGTTTAAATATGCTAAATAGTTAAAAGGGTTAAAAGAGGTAATAGGTTAACCTAGATAACAATTCAACCCAATCCATATATTTTTGGAGTGGAGGGGGCTTGGCTACCCGCGTGTTTGGATGACTATTTGCAATGAGCCCTGACTTTATCTTCTACTGTCTGTTTGTAGAAGGATTGCTATCAAACAAACCATGATAATGAATTCAATCTTTCCATTTACCCAAGCGGGCACGCATCTCTATGTCTCTCTTTGCTTTCACATTACACGGCAAACACACCACGTCCCTCCAAACCGCGCGTTTGCTATTGTGTTGTAGGAGTTGCTTCATTTCTTCTTCTTCTTCTTCTTTGCATACAAAATAAATTAGTTTTTTCTTTGGAAATATATTTACTCATCACTTTAATCTTAATCTTATATTTCTAAAATGCAAAATGAATTGTGGACATCGCTCTCGACAATTTATCTTCTCAATTAAACAATAAGTTTATATTTTATTACATAATATTAAATATATATATATATACGTCTTATAATAATGATAATTTTATTATATAAATAGCAGTGTCTTGGTCTGATCGAAAATTCCTTGCATAAGGAAAATACATTATTTATAATATAAAAACATAGTTAATAATTTAAAAGAATTTGGAAAGGAGAAAACACGCGAGGAAGGCGAGAGTGGAAGAGAAACGCGCGCGTAAAGCCTAGTTGGAAGTTGGAGAGGTGACGCCCGATCATGAAGCGAAAAACAAAACTAAAAAAAGACAAAAAGATAAGGTAAAGAAAAACGAAGAAAAATCCATTTCATAATTTTGTAAAATTGAGTCGTCTTTGTTTGTATTAGCTGAGAGTCTGAGACAGATCTAACCGCCCGGCCCGAGGACCGAGGCGGCCTACTCTAGCTATCTCTCTCTCTCTCTCTCTCTCTCTCTCTCTCTCTCTCTCTCTATATATATATATATAAACCCACACGCCCTCTTCATTTGCTTGTCTTAGCGTCCCATCTAATTTCCAATTTCTGAGTTTAACACGTACGCACCAAAATGGAGAAAGCGTTCAACAGGCAACGAGTTCTGCTCGACCACCTTCGACCTTCTTCCTCTTCTCTTCATGGCACCGACTCTTCTTCTCTCTCCGTAAGCCTCTCTTTCTTCTTCTTACTCATTTGATTGAAATATTTTAAAGATTTGCTTTCAGTCGCTTTGAATAACAAACATCCGATCTCGATTGAACTCGAGCTCAATTCAATCTCTCCAAGGCTGAAAAGCAATTGCTTTCTCTCTTTTTCGAGTCACTGGTCGTTTCAATTTTGTATGTTTGGTCTCAATTCCTCATTTTTAATGAGATTTGTGTATTGGGTGTATTGGGTATCAGGCATCGGCGTGTGTGGCTGGGGATAGCGCTGCATATGCAAGGACAAATGTCTTTGGAGATGATGTGGTCATCGTAGCGTAAGTTGTTTCGTTTTGCAAATGATGCTTCTCAGTTCATTTCAATTTTGTGTATTTACATCAAGCCTTTGATATTTGTTAATTGTGCTTTTATAGGAAGTTTGAGTTTAAAAATATTTAAATAATTTTGGTGTCTTGCAGTGCTTATCGGACTCCAATTTGCAAGGCTAAACGTGGGGGCTTCAAAGATACTCATGCTGATGATCTTCTTGCACCTGTTTTCAAGGTTGGTTATACAAGTTTCGTAATTTTCGCTTTGCTTTGGTTCTAGTGAAGTTTGGTGGAAAGAAATTCTAAAGCTTTTTCTTTGCTTGTTTATATACTATCTCATAAACTATTTGTATCTTCAACTGATAAAAATAACTATTTGTTTCTCACTGAAACGATGATTGCCTTGCTATAGGCGGTTATAGAGAAATCCAATCTCAACCCAAGTGAGGTTGGGGATATTGTTGTGGGTACGGTGTTAGCTCCAGGATCTCAAAGAGCCAGTGAATGCAGGATGGCTGCCTTTTATGCTGGCTTCCCTGGTATGTGCCCTTCTAGAAAATTTAATGATCCTTGAGTATGTCATGGTTTGTTATTCATCCACATGATGGCTGTAATGTGCAGAAACTGTGCCAATTAGAACTGTGAACAGACAATGTTCATCTGGGCTTCAGGCAGTGCTGATGTAGCTGCATCTATAAGAGCAGGATTTTATGATATTGGTCAGTGTTTGTCGTTTTTTTTTTTTTTTTTTTTTTTTTTTTTTTTTCTCAAATTGAACTAGTCTCAGAACTTCAGACAAGTATCCTTAGCTTTAATTTCCCTTTTTCTCGGATTATTTCATACAGGAATTGGAGCTGGGTTGGAATCCATGACTGCAAATCCAATGGCATGGGAAGGATCAGTTAATCCTAAAGTATACATTCTTCTTGCACTTGTTTTTCTTTTAGAAACATATTTTCTTGCAGAAATGCTATTTTTGACAGGGTTCTAAGAGTACCGAAAATTTGCACTGTGGTCAGGTGAAGATCTTTGAACAGGCCCAGAATTGCCTTCTTCCTATGGGAGTCACCTCAGAAAATGTTGCGCATCGCTTTGGTGTTTCTAGGCAGGAGCAAGATCAAGCTGCTGTAAGTTGGATAAATCTGTCAGTCTGGTATTAAATTGTACTGTGGTTTGTCTATGTTAGTGATTTTGTTAATTATATGTTGTTAGGTCGACTCTCATAGGAAGGCAGCCGCTGCTACTGCCACTGGTAAATTTAAAGATGAAATCATCCCTGTGGCGACCAAGGTAATATAAAATTCGATTGCAGATTTGGCAGATAATGTTTGCATGCACGTGTGCAAGGGCACGCCTGATCTTTTATGTATTACTGATTTCATTGAATTAAAATAGATTGTTGACCCTAAATCTGGTGAGGAGAAACCTGTTACAATCTCTGTTGATGATGGGATTCGGAACACAACATTGGCAGACCTGGCAAAGTTGAAGCCTGTGTTTAAGAAAGATGGGAGCACCACTGCTGGTACGTTTTTACTGATGATGCATCATTTCCTTTTCTAAAATACAGTATCGCATTATTGAATCCATTTCATTTCATATTCGGTGCATCCGTTTAGGTAACTCTAGTCAAGTTAGTGATGGTGCTGGAGCTGTTCTCTTGATGAAGAGAAGTATTGCTGAGCGAAAAGGATTGCCAATTCTTGGTGTATTCAGGTATGCAATTCCTTGATGTCGTGCATCTATTTGACAGGAGGGAATTGAGTTTGCCATGGCAGGCTACAGATTTGTTGATTCCAATATTCCCTTGGTTTTTCAACATGTATGCTCAGAAGTCTTATCTTGGTAGGCCTCAGTATCCAGAAACTTGTCCATACCTCTGATGAACACCTTGGGGTTCATTTGTTTATTGCTATCAGCATGCTTTATAAACTTGCTTCCTAATATCTACTCCAAAGCTTTGAACCATGATGTTCAGACAATCAATTTTTCTTTGGTATACTATATTACTTGGGTCTTTGTACTTGTGCAATAGAATAAGTTTCTTTCACTTTAAGCAACTCAAAAGGATCTATGGACCAAAAAAAGAAAGCCGATGATCAAAAGGATCGTAGCATTTTGGGGTTTCCCTATTGACATGGGATCTACAATTCCTCTGTACTTACGACCTTGTAGTGTGGTATCATAGTTGGCAAAGAGAATGAAGTTTTCTCAATATTTTCCTCGATGTTATCATCTGTTTTAATGTGTTGCCTCCCAGGCTAATCTGAAATATCGGACAGAGTGTTTGAATGTTATAAATATTGCCCTCTTCTTCATTGTGCAGGAGTTTCTCTGCTGTTGGTGTGGATCCAGCCATCATGGGTGTTGGTCCAGCTGTTGCTATTCCAGCTGCAGTCAAGGCTGCTGGTTTAGAGCTTGATGATATTGATCTTTTTGAGATAAATGAGGTATTAAATTGCAGTTAAGTTTCTACGTATGATTTTAGGCCCTGTGAATATAAAATGACATAGAAAATGCTCAACTGTGCAGGCTTTTGCATCCCAATATGTATATTGCCGTAACAAGTTGGGACTTGATCCAGAAAAGATCAATGTGAATGGAGGTGCACTTGCCATTGGGCATCCACTTGGTGCAACAGGTATTATATTTTCTACTTAGCATTGACTGTACTACTCTGTTTTTTTGTGTGTATTGAAACCTCATTTGATTGTTGCAGGTGCACGAGCGGTTGCCACTTTATTGCATGAGATGAAGCGTCGTGGGAGGGACTGCCGCTTTGGAGTGATCTCTATGTGCATAGGTAAACCTTTATTCCCCCCCTCTTGTGTGCACGCAAACATTGATACTGCCCATTGAAAATGTTGATAATGGATCTTATATGGAAAATGCAGGCACAGGGATGGGGGCAGCAGCTGTTTTTGAAAGGGGGGACAGCACTGACGAACTCTGCAATGCTCGGAAAGTCGAATCCCCCAATCATTTATCCAAGGATGCTAGGTAGAAGGACTTACCCATTGCATTCGTATCAATAATGTATGATTGAGAGTCCTGAGACTGAAAATCATAGTGAAGCAATGCGATAAGATTGCTTAATCTCTCTACATTGGGTAGTTGAATCCCCAGATCCTTGTTCATCCTTGCAATACCTCTCAATAATATTTTGGTTAATCGAAAATCATAGCATGTATTTGGTGATCAGCAGTTTTGATCTCCAATGTTTGTATACCAGAATTATATTTTACAATCCATTACACATAAATATTTAGTTGAACAGTACCGTTTTCGTTTGCCTGCTTGTTCAAGCTTGACTGGTTTCATTGCTTTATATCTTTTTTCGGTCATAGCTTTATATCTTTGAGACCAAAAAAATGGGACTTCATGGACGAGATTACAGACACAAAGCAGTTACTTGTACGTCTTAGTTATCAATTCTGGACCATATTTTCTTTTTGATGCCTCCAACACCTCTTCACGTGCTATTGCTAATTTGCTATCTTCGTTCATTCTATTCTAACCACCCATTTGCTTTCCCATAGCTCCCCTAGAGTTTTCTTAAATAAAAAAGAATATAAATAAATAAATAAATAATTTGTTCTCCTCGTCTGTCTTTGTATGTTAACGCACAAATACACACTTACTCTAGTGGTATTCTCTTTCCAATATTAAAACAGCAAAATTCCGAATTCGAGTAAACTGCCTGGTTACTAGTAAGTAATAAAAAACTATGATGATGGCAACATGAGCATAATTGTCACCGGCCTGGTAATCTAAAATGAATTCTCCTCTCTATACTACACCCATGAGTTTTTGAAAGCTGCTAATCTAATATCTATATCATTATCAATATTACCTAAATTTGCTGTAGTAAATGACTGGTAACTTCTCCTCTATGGTGACTCATCTTATTAATTTTCTTGTTTGCGGCTTTCTATAGAAAATTACTTATAAGCAAGGCCTGGCTACTCACTTATTTGCCTTTGACATGACGTATTAGAGTATGAATGATTTTAAAATGATCCATTATGGGACCAATCAGATGATTTTAAAGTAATGGTTGTGCGGGATTTCAGTCATATCTACAGTCATTCTATATTGATAGACGCCTCCACCAATTCATCAAAAATATTCTGCTGAACAAGCAAGCATCAATACATGAACAAGTAACTTATTCTCAGCAATTAAACTATTATTCTTTTTTTGTTTTGCCACTTTAATCTAATTAGTAAAAAGTTTTAACTTAATATTGATTATCATTTTAGATAATCAGGATCATGAGAAGAGAGAAGAAACCTAGATTTGTTAACGGGTGTAGATTATCTGACTGATATCCATGAGGTTTAAGTTAATGCATGGAAAGCTTGCACACAAAATTGCTTTAAAGTTAATGCATTTGAGGCAAAACATTGGTTTCTTGCACAAAGACCCCAATTTGGTGGGAGCTGTAAAAGGTGAAGATAAACCCTAGGAAGACCACAGATGCAATTGACGATTTCACATGACAAGTTCATGTGTGTTTTTAAAAATCCATTCATTGACTGGTAGTAATATGACACTACCCAACCTTCACCTGTGCAGGGCATCCCAAGAACCACAAGTCGACTGCGCATCTATCCAGTAATGAAAGCCTGCAGCCTTTATTCTATGCCGAACATGAAACCACAAAAATTAACTAAACAAGATAGACAGGTAAACTTGAGCTCTCTTATATGAAAATCTAATTATGCACATCGTTTCCACTTCAACAAATTCTTAATTTCTGCTATCACAACTTCAATGAGAAAAACGAAAATTGAATCACAGATTGCCATGATTCCAAAAAGATACTGCTTGCAGTATTAAGACACTCTTTTCAGAAGATGGCCTGGGCAGCGAATCACAGCACAAACTACGTGATCGAACACTTACAAATTGGGCATGAAGTTCTTCTACCGAGCCATGGATCAATGCACTGAGAATGAAGTGGGAGAAAGAGACAGGGAGAGGGGTGGGGAGAGGAACCAACAAAAACAAAAGAGTAAGACATTTGATGGCTTCATTTGCAAGGAAAAAGCTAACCACACAAGAATGGGAGGCCCTACATCTTTGTGAAATCTGTGCAAGCAAGGAAGATGGCGAACTGTTTCTCCAATTGTTGGAGTTTCAAGACAAATTGCACAGGCTTCTTCTGAGGCATCACTCTGCAAACAAAGCAACCGAAAACAAAATTTTATAGCAGGTAAATAAGCGGATCTGATGGCTGGGTACATGGCCCACCACAAGAAGCACAAAAGCAAACAGGTTATAGTCTTTATATTTGTTCAACTTCTACTTCACCTACCTGTACTGTAGATTGTGGCAAATTATTAATTTGATGAACTGTTGCACCAGCATGCTGATGATTATTATCATCGAGTGCCAACAACATCTCATAGTCATTGCTGCAAGACATGAAGAGGCAAAAGGTAAAATGAATCTCAATTGAGATTTTGTAAAATAAAAAGAACAATATGCTTCGAGTGTGCAACCAAACCCCCAATATAATTAATCATGCCAGTCGCTCTTGATGAATGTATGAAGCCATTGGATAAAACAAGTATCATTTTTTCCTCTAACAAGATACAGGCCCCAGATGAGAATAAGCAAGGCATAAACTGATAAATAGACTAAAATCTTACTCATTAAAATCCCTCTGAACTCGAAGCATGCGATTATCCAGTCCCACCTCACCAAGGTCGTCAAATGCTGCCTCTATAGCTTCTAATATATTAAGTCTCTGCATCAGAAAGCAGAAATCAGAATTATGACGAAAAAACTAAGGAAAACTTAGTCTTGACTGCAACTTGACAGAGAGGTAATCTTTGATTAAATATTCAACTATATCTGGACGTTAAAGTAGAATTCTAACTTCGCATATTGCCCCCTCTGAACTATGGAATAAGTTCTAATGTCTTTCTTGAACTTTCAATTCTCATTTAGTAAACAGTATAAGGATGAGATTACACAAATAAATTGAATAATAATCTAATTCATCTTTGGTGTCACAACAACGAATGGACTAGCAATCTTAGACAAGAATTTGGTCCTGGATAAGTGAGGATAATAGGCCTACACGCAGGGGCGGGTCATGTAGGACTGAAAAAAATTCCTCCCTCTTCCTTTTCATCCCATATGCAATAAAGTTTGTTTCCTTCCAAAACATTTGTCAAATAAGTGACTTATACACAAAGACACCATCCAAGGTTCATGGAATTTTGTACACGTGCAAATAACAGAAATAAAAACCAAATGGCTTCCCTCCCTTAATTGTTTATCTCCCTTATCTTTCTTATCTCCCTCTCTCTTTAATTTTTTTTATTTAAAAAACAACCAAAAAACCTTTATCAAACAGGCTCAAAGAAATAAAAGCGCGAGATACCATGTCTAGATCCATGTCCAAAGGAAATCGCATATTTCTTCCTCTAGTTGATACTCTAGGAGACTGGTTGCGAAAGCGAGTCCTTAACTGTGCCATTCTAGATGAGGTAGCAACTCGAGCCTGGGTTCCTCTCCTATTGGAATGATTTTGAAAAGACTCTGGCCGTGATTGTCTATTCGAATGCAAGATTGTTGAGCCTCTCTACATAACATAAGAAACAAAATAAGAATACACAATATTGCTAACAAATAACAAAAATCATACTCATTATATAGAGAAACAAGTGTCCATTTGCCAAGAAACAAAATCATTGCTTTTGACAAAAATTAATCTAACATCAATAAAGATCATGAGCATCAAAATATACATCTTCCTCGACCATGAGCATCAAAATATACAGCACACAGAATAACAATGCATTTAGTTTTATTTAATCATTGAGATCTCCCTAATATGGCATTCATGAAACTCATCATCTTAAACAGACCTTCTAATTCTTCTGCAATATCTACACAAGTTGGCTTCTGGAACTAATGTCTGAGAAACACACGCAAAGATGGGGTTTATACTATGAAAGCTGTTAATAGGAGATGCATGCGTGATTCCAAATTGAAGGTGTCTCAGTGTTGGCATGTCATCTGAAGACTCTTGAGAAACATTACAAAGCATATGTGGAGGGAGACAGATTTTTTATAATATACCCGTAAAAGGATCCTAATATATGACAATATTTTGAGCCCAGGGAGAAATATGGTTAATTAATGCGACATGTTTAAAGGTTAGGAAAAATTTGTTGCTCATCTTTGTATCACCGTCTAACAATACAATTCCTATAATGTAAAAAATCTTAATTGTCCTTTGCACAGGGTTGCATGGGTCCCAAATGGGCACTTCATGCACAAATTCATGAACGGTTGAGATTGGTGAGTTTAGTAGGTGGTACCAAATTCAACCTGGTTACAATAATGAGCTAGCATGGAAAAACTATGATTCACCAGTTTGGAAGATACTCATTTTATGATTTATTCGGTGCTTACCGTTAGAGAGAAATATTAGGCTTTAAAGGAGTAAAAGATACTATAAAGATGGCAACCAGTTTGAATTGACGATTCAACTGTAAAGATGGCTTTTTGAGTAAAATATATGGTCCTAACTGACTTGAACTGACTGGTTTGACAACAAGCCTTTCATTCTAGGGCAAAAGCTATTTCCTATTTCTGGATATAGGCAAGTCACTTAAAAAGCCGAAATCAAGTTACAGCTCATGGTATATAATAGAAGCCAATCTCTATAATCATCCATACTTCCCCGTAAAAAGTCCCCGAGCCAGACCAAAAGGAAAAAGAAAATATCATGGAACAGAAAAGATACACCATTTTATTTTTTCAATTCTAGGAACAGAGGCCTGAGCCTCTGGCACAGCAGGATAATGAGCCATTCATGTCTCTGTGATAGGGTATCTCATGTTCCATGACCATGCATCAAAATATCTAGAAATAATTATGTGAAAGTCACCAAAAGTGCATTTTTAATTTGCAAATCATGCTATCAACAGTTACAAAGAATAAAGAGGCTCACTCACACGATGTGATAAATTGTGACTTCCTCTAGAAGTATTTGAAGCATTCTCCTCCTGCTGCAGTGCCCACGCCAGATGTTCATCAATCTGCTACAATGAGAACAGATGTAAAACACTCAGTCAAGGAGAAGCATACAAATGTCCACTTGCACACATAAAGATCCTCTTTCTAAAGAGATTCTATTCGGAACTATTATATGTCCAAGGTTCCAGGTACATCCTTAACCCTTTCCCCTCTTATCAATACTACAGAATGTTCTTGTAAACTATGGCCAATACTATATAGAAAAATATGCACACACACATACAACACGGTTGCCTAAAATGCACTAACCTCGCCACCTCCACTGATAGGCACCTCATGATATAATTGCTCCTGGAGTTCACGAGCCAATATCTCATCTGCTTCTAGTTGTCTTGCCCTAGCATTGGAATCATCATTAATGGAATCAATACTTTGGGGCACAGAGTGCCCTGCAGCAGGTGATAAGTCATCAACCTCAATAACTCGACTTGACATTCCCTGAAATTGAGGTCTCTGGATCCTAGATGATTTTGAATTTTCAGATGAACCAAGAAAAGCAATATCTGAGTCCCCGGACACCGATGTAGAGCATTCAGCATGATTTCCCAAACTTAATCCCTGTTTCCTCTGCCTTTTAGTAACTGTCTTTGCTGCATGACATGACCCAGGTATCCGGTCCAGCTCAGACACAAGTCCAGAAGCTTTTTGAGCTGCATTCAGTTCTTCTGCCACATCATCTTCAGTCCTTCGATTTCCTCGACTCCTGGTATCTCTCCTCTCTACTCTGTTTTGATGTTGATTGACAAAGTTCCCAACACCATTAGTTCTCCTGGGAAGAGGCTCAGTGGAATCAGGCAAGAAATAATCTATTTGACTTGAACGATTACGTGTAGTTCTCCAGCCACCTAGTCCTTCAGAGCGTCCAGAAATATTGCTACTGACATCCCTTATTCCATTAGCTTCTTTATTATTATTCACAAGACTGCTGCAAAAAACATACCATGTCATAAGGTCTCAAGATAATGGTTATTAAAACGGACAATAGACATAAGCTGCTCAATAAACTCCATTGGAAACAACAATCAAGCAGAAAAAAAAAATAGAAAGAAATTCTTCATGCTGTCAGATGGTGACACGTCTTGTTATTTTTGTCAAAGACTTTATCCGGTTTATAAGATGAAAGCCCAAAAATCTGGAAGAGAAAAAAATATCATATCATACAGTTTGTCACATCAGGAAATGTTAGAAATATAACACACACACACACACACACACACACACACACACACACACATATATATACATATATACATTAAAAGCCATGGAGAAGTTATTAAATTTCAAACGTGAGTGCAATTTTTATACAGCCAAACCATAACACTCCAGTACCCATTTATCACAACCCTGTGTTACTCATTTCTCAACCTTATAAGAGAAGGTGGAAATATATTAATTTCAACGTTCCCGAATAGATTGTGAAGAAGTGCTTGCAAGGACACAAACCCCCTAGTTAGGAGAAAAAAACTACAGGAAACCATCATTTCAACTGTAACTTCTTCCTCCCAGGGCAGGGGGGAGGGCACTTAGGTGCTCTCACCAATACCAACAAAATAAAAGGCTAAGGTTATGAAGATCTCATAAACAAACCCCTCATCATATCACTCGTATATAAGTAAACCAAAATGAAACGAAATTTGCAATCCAACAGTCAGCAACCCTCTAAATTCTTCAACCTTCTTGAAACCAGATATTGAAATGTAATTCTAACTTACTCATTAAGAAAAGACATAACTAAAACATATATTTAAGAGCATGTAACCAAGAAAATACCATATTGAACAGATTACCTGCCTGATGTACGAATAATTCTTGCATTATTCGCCTTAGGTGTAGGAGAATGAATTATTACACCTTTCCCTTTCCCTTTCAGTCTTTCACTATTATTTCCTTCAGTAACTATGTCATTTATGTCTATGACATATGGTGAACCATTGGAATCTGCATTTCCTGTGTGACTTTGTTCAATATCCTTGGAACAATTGCTACGCTGTTCAGCTAACTGTTTAGTCCTTGTTGCTATATTATGGGGGGAAATACACCCATTTCGTACCAACCTTTTTTGGCCACTGACTCTTGGCTGCATAACAGAATGAAGAGGAACGGGCATTTGTTGCCCCATTTTAAGTTCAGGATCAATGGACAGACCAACCCCCTTGTCAAGAGCCACAGCTAACCCAAAACCCTTTGTATTATCATCTATTTTTTCTTTCCCCTTGGGAGCATTTCTGGATCTCTCCGCATGACTTGAAATGCAATCTACAGAAGAACTGCCAATTGACGCAACTTGCCCTTTTCTTGTGTCTTCAGCAACATGATCTTCCAATTCAACATGTGGAAAAACCTTTTTCGTTAATTGGGTGTGACCATTGTGTTTGGTTAAATCAAAAAATTTAGCGTTTTCATGGCAAGAAGATGATTTAGAAGGAACTTTGATGGTCATAGCCTTTCCTTCATCCATATTTTCAATTCCAGTAGAATATTTGGCTTCACGACTGGAGCTTTTGCCCACTGTTGCTCTCCGAAAGATGTGAGCATTATGGGAAGCAGATGAATTATCAACATTTGAGTTGCTGCAACTCTTAATATCAAGATTGCTAAGATTTCTTGGAGGATGTATAACAATTCTTCTATTATGCCCATTTTCACTGACGAACCTTCCCCTGACCTTCGGTCCATTCACATAGTTTTCATCCACAACATCTGGATTACTCAAGTCACAAGCTAATGGTGAATTACAGACTTTACCAACAGATTCCCTGCCAGTAATGTGTCTGGAAGCTAATCTATCAGGCGTGTCAGGTACATCCACTACCTGATCGATGTCCATGTCCTCCATAATCTGCATTAATTTCATAAAAGAGTACAAAACTAAATCATTCAGCACCAGCTACTCACATTTAGTCAAAATATATATATTAAAAAACCCTCAATAATAAGAAAATTCTAGCTATGAAAAAAATTTGTTGCAAAAAACATAGTGTGTTTAGCTTATTACTTTTTTTTTTTTTTTTTTTTTTTTTTTTTTTTTGGAGAGAAACGAAAAATTATCGAAGCAAAGGCAAAAACACAGAAGCGGATAAGGCATCCACAAGCCAACCAAACACACAAAAACAAAAAGAAACAGCACCAACGCCTCCCAAACTAACAGGGAAAAGCAAACCCCAAACAACCAAAAACAACACACACCAAAGCCCATATTTAACCGCAGCTGCCATATCCCTCATAATTGTGGAGTAAGAGTAGTCTTTAAAATCTTTTGTAACAGATGCCCAAGAGCTGCCCAGAACTTAACTCTGTCCCAAAGCTCACTCACTCTGTCCCAAAGCTTATACATAATAGGAAGTGCGCATAAATAAAAATGTTACTAAAAGCAATAGAAAATAAAGGTTTCAGTTGATACCGCTTGCTTGCAGATACTCATCTGTGAGCAAAACATGATTTGAGCACCTACTAAAGCATAAGTCAAAAATATCTTTTTCTTCTTCATTTTCCTTTTTATAACTATTACTGAATTGAGAACTGCCATTTTTATGCCAAGTTTAGCAACACGGTGTGGACTCTTGTCTCTGTATAAAGTACACTACAAGATCCAGAAGTGAATAATGGACACATTATTGGAGGGAGTTGTTTGAAAGGACTCAGAGAACTGATACTAAAATTGTAGAGAAGTGACACATGGTATAAAAATACTGAAGAAGGAAATAAAAAGAAGACATCAAGAGGTAATAGACATAGAACAACATGGGCACAAAAGATTGTGTGGCAGAATTGACAGGTATCAAAGATGGAAATAGAAACTACATACTCCCGTTAACAGAGGACCATACGAAGTTTGAAAATGCTCATTCCTTTTCCATGCAAATGGAAGGGTCGGCTGTTGAATACAAATGTCCAACGTGAGGGCACCCCTGTATTGGGGGCAGGCCCCAGTGAACTTTATGGTTCAGATTTAAAAGGCCCCTTCCATTTGGTACTGCAAATGGAGAGGAGCTGAAGATCCATTAAATTCAATATCTTTGTAAAAATTGGGAGAGGGCACTCTGAAGTATGAACTTGAAAATTCAAAGGGGTTAAATCAAAGTTAATTTCTATTCACAAGGAACTTAAGAATAATTCAGTGACCCAGCTTGAAATATTACATGGTCATCATCAGTCCGACCTTCCCAAGGAATGGGGTTTAATAAATACGAGAGTTCTACCTCCCAGATCCTACAAGCCCGAAGGGTCTGGCGTGAACCCCCAAAAAGATATTGGATTCCATTAAAGATCTCAAGGAGTGATCAGATACAACATGTATAAGGAATAACTATATTTCTTATTTTGTATTAAATAAAGGATCCAAGAGAAAAAAATCTACTTTCTCCATGGAAATACTTAATTCATGGTAATACCAGTTTCACTGCTGCCCAATTAAAGAAATCATCAAGAGGTAACACTCAAAATTCAACCTTCATGTTAAAGATAAAGTGATGTGCATTCCACCACATATAATTCATTCCTAAATAACAAAATTCATAACAGATGATAATGAATATCAAAATAATTGGCATAAATAAATTATAATCAAACTTGATACATAAACAGATATTAATGCAGATAAAATAAATAAATTTTATAAAATTAATCTATAAACATTGAACATTCAGAAGTAAAAATTGATATACGCTTCCATTATCGCCAGTCACCCAAAAAAACCAAAAAACAATGACCTTCGTAGAAAACTTTGAATTAAACAATTACAATAAAACACATAATACCAAATTTAACGACAAGGTTTAAAAAATTTAATGAAAAAAAGTGCAATCAGATGGCAAAGAACCTCGATGGGAATGTATGAGAAAGTAGGAATGAATCAGAAGGAAAGAAACGTAAAATTTTGAATTTCAAAGGAAAACTTAAACCGAAACAATTATATTTTTTTTTATAAATTAAATAAAAGAAAATGAAGAAAATAACCTGACGTTGTCGTTATCCTTGTAGTTGTGGTGGATTCAAATCCAAAAGAGAAAGCCCCAGAATTTGAAGAGAAGGAAGAGGAAGATGATCTCATGCGCCCGTCTCCAAATCTGTCTCTGTTGAAAGATGAAGCCACCACCCATCAACCCCTCTTCCCTCAGTGGCGGAAATGGGTCGGGTCAGTTTAGGGTTTCTCATAATTTGTGGGTCGAGCTGCCGCACTTTTTGAGAAGCTAAGGCCCACCCTAATCAGCCCCCAACGTCCAACCCATGAAAAAAGAAAATTATAAAAAAAGAAAAAGAAAAAATATATAAAAATTTAACAGTTTATTTTCTGAAAAGGAAAAGAGAGACTTCAATTTGTTTGGGTCACGTTGTTGGACAACAATTATAATTTCTCGGATAGTTTCAATTCAACTGTTTCAAGTCCTGGCGTTGTTATAAAAAAAATTGGTGATGTAAAACGAACTCTAAAATTAACTGAGCACACTTTACTACTAAATTATTTATTGAATTATTAATTTACCCTAATAAAAAATGACCAAAAATAATACATTGAATTGTGAAACAAATGTAATTTTAATAAGTACAACTTACTCCCCATATTCAACCAAGCAAAAACCCTACAAAGATAGCAAATTAGCAATAACAATGAGTGGTTAGTATAATGCGAATAGGTGTTGGAGGCATCAAAAGGAAAATATGGTCTAGAATTGATAACTAAGTGTTCATTAGGTTTTGAACACTGCGATGCCCCTGGCTACTAGCAGGCTGTACGTTGGCAGCTAGCGATTGGTTGTTGGTGAAGGAAGTGAAGTGAGAGAGATCCAGGCCCTAAAGTGGGCTCAAAAGCTGCTCCTTGGTGAATTGTGATAGGAATGCCACTACTAGTGATACTTTTATAGTAGAAAGAGGGGTGAGGTGAAGATTAAGCTTGTTAAAGTGTTGCGCCCTTGTATTCTTATCTTATAATCAAAGCCATTATGCTCTAAATAGAGGGATCTGGATTTAGATAGGTTCTTTTCTATGCCTCAATGAAGAGGACTTCAATATTTCACCTATTATGGAATAAAAAGTAAGATGGATGATGATTTTTAGATTGTCATTGAACAAAGAGTACAATAACGAGCCTTGCAAGAGAGGTGTTCGATGGATAACATAATACCATAAAGTAATTATATACCCAACAAAGACCTAACGATAGATGCAAATAAAAGTAAAGTTCGGTCCAACAAAACTACAAAAGCCTTATTGGATAGAAACAAATTATGTCGGATAGAACTGCAATCTACTTGAGACAGTGCAGAAGGTATATCCAATGAGAGTTTCTCAGATACATCTACAGTCAAAACTTGTCCGAACTATAGATAGGAGTTTTGATTTAAATGAGTTGGAAATCGAGACCAACTTTCAAATCATACCAAGCTGTGTTGGCAAAGCATATAGATTACAAACAATAGCAATGCAATTCCAATTAGGAGTTGTCAACTGGGAACTTGATAGAGTATGTGTTTGGGAAAAAAATAGAATTCCAATCAGGAGTTGTCAACTGGGAAGTCAAAGAAAAGAAGAGGATTCAATTCAAGACTTGGCCTTGGTCTACAGTGAGACGTTTTGCAAGAATTTGAGTCTAGATTACTTCGCAATTGTCGAGAATAGACGTATTTTGAAGGCTGTTCAAAATAGGTTTGATTGATTCGTTGTTGGATCCCTGATTCTGAGCTTTCTTCCTCTATTTATAGGCTTCAAGGTATTTAAGGGGGGAAAAAAAAAAGATGGCTACTTGATGGGAGTTGTTGCTTCAAACCATAAAGAAATCACAAGATAATGCACACATGCCTTTCAAGTTGATCAGTGGGGGTGCTTTCCAGTTTCGAACTTTGGGACTACTCTGCAGGAGGCGCCGCAACTGGTCAGCTCTAGGTTTTTTACCATTCTTTACCTATGAGGGATCGAATATTCTCTGTCAAAGCAGATTTCTTTATTGTTTTGTTGGGGCAAATCAGTGCGTACCACTTGTACAAGCATAGCGGTTTGAATTGTTTTCGACCCAAAGCTCAAAATTCTATCCAATTAGCTCATACTGATTGTTAAATGAATTGTAATTAAAAACCACTTATATTGGTTATTAATACACTTGATCGGTTTTTATTGTAGCCTCATACATTTTCTGTCAAAAATGGAACTACAGCATCAGACATCTTTTATGTTCAAAGTGGAACTATAGCTTCAGACACTTGTGGGTTTTCTAATTTTTTATTTATTTAAAATCTATGAAGTATAAATAATACAACTAGGCAAGTCCTTTTTTCTTAATTTTTTTAAATTAAATTGTTCAGCCGGGAGGCTATACTCTGGGTTTTTCCTAATTTTTTTTATTAAAAAAACAGTATAGCCGCACGGCTATATGCTATTTTCCCTAAGTTTTTGAAAAGAACTATACTTTGGTTTCCCTAATTTTTTTTTAAAGTAAACATACAATACTCACATTGAACATGTACCTACATATTTTTCATATTTTATACATGTATTTTTGACAAAATATTAAATAATTCACGTATTATACATATATTATTGAATACAAATAATACATATTAAAATATTATATAGTGACCGAACTTTTAAGTTGTAATTTGCTAAAATTTTGCCGAATGCAGCTATACCAATTCAATATCTATGAAGTATAAATAATGCAACTAGGAGGGTCCTCTTTTCTTAATTTTTTTAAAATTAAATAGTATAAAATAGTATTCCTAGTTTTTTAAAAGAAATAGTATAGCCGCACGGCAATACTCGGTTCATCTTAATTTTTTTTTAATAAAAGAAACAGTATAGCCGATCGGCTATAAGCTGTTTTTTTGTTTTTTGTTTTCAAAGAATAGTATAACCTCACGGTTATACTCTATTTTCGCTAATATTTTTTAAAAGTAAATGTACAATACTTTTCCTAATTTGTTTTTTTAAAGATATAGTGCCGCCGCTTAGCGATACTTGGTGTTTTCTAATTTTTTTTTTAAGAAATAATACAGCCACTCAGCTACTCACTTTTTTCTAATTTTTCAAAAGAAACTTGGTTTTTCCTTTTTTTAATAACAAAGAAGTAGTATAGTCACACTGCTATACTCTATTTTCCCTAATTTTTTAAAAGTAAATGTACAATACTCATATTGAACATTTATGTAAATATTTTTCATATTTAATACACATATTTTTGGCAAAATTTTCAATAATACACACAAAATTCATATATTATACATATATATTATTGAATACAAATAATATATATTAAAATATTATATAGTGACTGAACTTTTGAGTTGTAATTTGCCAAAATTTTACTGAATAAAATACATACGTAGTACGATTTTATAGCTGCGTGGCTATACCAAATTAATATTTATAAAGTATAAATAATGCATGAAATTAAGGTTAAATTACACACGACCATAAGTGTTTGGCGTTACCTCTTGAAAGAGTGCTTGGTCGTTTGTGTGTTTGTGCGTGTGCGTGCTAGTCTTCTTTTGGTTGGACGATGAGTGAAGTTTCCAAAGGAGAAATTCCTTTAGAAAAAGGTAAGGAGATAAAAGCAGACTTGGGATTTGACAATTCACAAACAAACCTAGGAGCAACAAAATTTAAGCATACCAACATACAGCATAAGAAACACGCTACAGAGCCAAATGGATATTATCCTACAAGGGCCGCAATTATACCCAACCCAACATCTCCTCACGACAATTTACCAATTTCAGCAACTGCTATCACACTCTATAATATGCCATCTATGTAATGTCCTCTCCTCACCACCATTACTCATCAGTCACGCAACCCTTTGAAGCCGACTGCACGTTCTTGATGTACTGGAAATAAACAAGACGATGTAATTCTCAAAATACAACAATCAATCGTAACAAGGAAAAGATGGTTGCAAATCAAGATTCTCGCACATACCTTGTACAAAATTCCACGGTTAGCCTTGTATGCAGGTGGAATCCAGTTCTTTCTTCGTTTTTCCATCACTTGATCTGTTAACTGGACATCTATTCTCTTGTTCTCGACATCAACGTTGATGATGTCCCCATTCTCAATTAATCCAATAGGACCACCTTCCTGAAAATAATTCATACTACATTCCCTGAGCACTCTTTATTACTTCGTTCTTTATTGTAATTTGTATCTAAGATATATAACAAATTTTTTGCATGTTGTAAATAAGCTTGACCACTTTAACACATTAGCTTTTCATTTTCTTGATGGAAGAGATGAATAATTTTTCATTTTCTACAATTGGTTATGATTAAGTAAAGATTAAAGTGCCCAAATTTTTCATGCACTTCCAGTAAAATAAAGCTCCTGAAAAATACAACCAAAGGAAAAACACTGTCATTGGGTCAAATCTGATACTGCATTCTGAATATAAAACTGATGAGATTTTAACACGGGATTATCATATTTTTCTTCTACAGTTTTTTATGATTTCCACGAGTCCAGTTTTGTACTATGCTGAAGGAACTCTGTAGCATGCTTAGATATCTTGAATCAAGTTTATTCTCCGTTCAACACAAAAGGAAAGCAAACAAAAACCATCGTTTACCATTGATGGACTCTTTTAAGGGCTGGAAGAGGCCACAAAATAACAACACGCACACATAATTGACTAAGTAGGAGACACAAATCTATCAAGGTAAAAGCTAAAAATGCAATAACATTAACTAAAAGTTTATAGCACCTGTGCTTCAGGGCATATGTGGCCAACAACAAATCCATGCGAACCCCCTGAAAACCTACCATCCGTCAATAAAGCAACCTCCTGCAACACCCAAAAACAATATTCATTGAAACATCCATTAGGACACAATAGCTGCATACCAACTAAAGCCGTGCAAAGCAGCTTGAAGGGACCATGATGGGATTAATTGTTTAAATAAAATAATAATAATTAGCTTGATCTAAAACAAAACCTAATAAAAAGCGTTAAAATAAAATCATTACAGTTGGACCAATCAAGCAACTGGCACAGTTCATGTGAATGAAAAGCAAAACATTTTAAGTCAACCTGCAACAAAAACAGACGACCAACAACCACCAAATCATGGATTTCAAATAACCATACCTTCCCTAGTCCTGCACCCATTATTGCACTTGTTGGTGTTAACATTTCAGGCATGCCTGGTCCTCCCTTTGGCCCCTCGCCTCTAATAACAACTACTTTCCCCTGCATGATGACAAATATATACAAGAAATTAGCTATGTAATTTTGACATGTGAGTTTGACAAAAAAAAACACCTTACAATTTTAAAGGCCATCGTGCAACAGACATGATGCAGAAAGCAATGTGCAAATAACAGAAACAATCTTGCACTAAGATTGTTAGCTACGTGGTTTTCTAATCATGGTTTTCTAATTTGAAGTTTGTCAAGAATAGACCTTAAAACTCATAGGATTCTCTGAGATAGCAGCAATCATTGACTCCTCTCCTTCAAAGACAAGTGCAGGACCTGGAGTATTTCAAGAATTCGGCAGTTAATGGGCATTTGTATTCTATAAAAATTAAAAAAATACAACTTCACTAAACCATTAAACAAATGACAGAAAACAGCACCAGAGAAATATAGCCCCTCTTTCCCCGTAATTTTTGCTACAGAACCCTTTGGCGCAAGATTTCCATATAATATCTGAAGGTGGCCTGTTTTCTTGATAGGGTTTTCCAAGGGCCTTATTATATCCTGAATGAATGAGAGGAAAAAGAAAAAGACAAGTAAAAAGAAAGGCATGAGAGAACCATATAAATGTTTGTCTTCAAACACATGGTTTATCAATAGAGACATTTATCATACCTGCCCTTTAGATAAGGGAAGGAAACTTTCAGCATTCTCAGCAAGTGTCCTCCCGGTGACTACAGAATAGATATCCTTATGTTAACGTTATAAGCATTACAGCTTAAACTAAGTGTTTCCAAAGATGTAAACAATCTGAAGATTTATACCAGTCATACAATCCCCATGTAAAAATTGATGCTCCAAAAGGTACCGAATGATTGCTGGTGTTCCTCCAATCTATTAAAATAATCATTACTGGCTCATCAAGAAAACAAGTACCAAATGCAGCCCAGAACTGATAGAAAAATGTCATATACACGCGAAATGTGCCACTAATTGTAACATTAAGTGCAAGAAAGGATACCTTGTGTACATCCTCCATGACATACTTGCCACTAGGCTTAAGATCGGCAAGAAATGGAACCTTATCGCTAACCTTCTGAAAATCATCTAGACTTAATTCCAGACCAACAGACCTGCCAAGAATCTTGTCAGTTGATATTTTCATGCAAAACAATCATTAGCATCCTGCGGAAATCTGGTTTCTCACCTCGCAATAGCAATCAAGTGTAAAACAGCATTGGTAGAACCCCCTAGTGCCATGACAATAACCATTGCATTGTGTAGTGACTTTGGAGTAATAATATCTCGAGGCTTCAAATCCATTTTTAGTAATTCCAAGAGATACTTCCCTGCCAATCGGCACTCATCCAACTTCAATGGATCTTCAGCAGGTGTAGACGAGCTTTTAGAGGAAAAAAAATAAATATATAATAAGAAATAAAGAAATGGATTACTTGCAAAACATAAATTAAATTCTTCTCTGAAGGCATCTCTACCTGTAAGGAAGAGACATTCCCATAGCTTCAATGGCAGAAGCCATAGTATTAGCTGTATACATTCCGCCACATGCCCCAGCCCCAGGACAAGAGTTAAGGAGAACATTCTTTCGCTGCTCGTCGCTTATGGACCCACTTACATATTCTCCATAACACTAAAACATCAATGGAAAAAAAAAATTACGAAGAATTTTAACTTCACCATATAGTGAACATAACAATTTATGTTCTGAAACAGCTTTTTATCTTAAAATGCAATGACTACTCGCATAAGCAATTATCAGACATAACGAGAAACAATATAGAGGTAATGTAAAACAATATAAATGCGACCTCACAAAAGGCAGAAAATAGCTACTAAAGCAAGACTTCACATCACTAACTGCTATTGAAGTTTAGATTGACATTTTGCCATCAAAACTTGGAATCCAAAATCACAACAGAAAGAAAAAGTCCAAAATAGCCATAGTCAGGCCAAAGAGGTAGAAAGTACATCTTCATTTAGACAGGGTAGCTTTGTACAGTAACAGCATAAAGAAGTTTATTTTACACACAACAACAGCAAGCACTTTCCAGCTCATCATGAACAAAATCTTGTTCTATTTATGGAAGATAAATACATGCTAAATGCCCAGTTTAACAAAAACTGCCCTGAAAACTCTCCGCAGCCCACCATTTTGGAGAGAAATTGACATATTTGGATAACCAAAAAGCATCCCAGCCTCGCCAACTAGCAAATCAGGCGAACCCCTCCTTGGGTGGATTCCTCCTTTGGCTCCTCAACCTACAGGGTAGTAGCAGCCGTTTGCAGCTGTTGTTTGTATGGGACTTACATTGTTCCCCTCCCAAGGGCAGGTTCTTACGCGTTACTCATCCGTCCACCACTAGAAACACCACTTCTTGTCTGACTTGCATGTGTTCAGCATGCAGCCAGCATTCATTCTGAGAGCACTAGAAAAACCCACATTGGGTTTAGGGATAATCAGGCTCGAACCAAAGCATGCTCTACCTTATTTTCTGTGACCTTCCCCTCTTCCATAACCCTTCATTAATCTTAACAAAGATACTAGCAATACTGTTGATGAGCAAATTGAAAGATAAGTCATTTGTACAAAAGGAAAACAAAAATTAGAATCTAGACATTTGTACTCCGTCCTGACAATTCACTGAAGTAGTGAATATTGCACTCCTTGACTGTATCCTTGGAAACTCAGTTGTACTAAATTGAAATGATAAACCCAAATAAATCAACTTCTACATGTCAGATTATTGTGGAACACACAGACTCAGGCATTCCAAGTATCTATTGAAATAAAAGAGCAATTTCCTTCATCTTATTACTGTAAGTGAAGGCTTCACAAAGGAAATAGAAAGAGGGCAAAACACAAAGCATGCATACACCATTTGTTTTGCAAAAGAAACACTAAGAAAAAGAAAATAAAACTACAATTACAAAATACAAAAGCAGTTAACATGATAGATATCTTTTTACTCAGAACCAAAAGTAATCAGCTCCAAAAATATGTTCAAACCACAATTTGGAGTGCATACCTGAAACGCAGACACTATATCATAACTATTGCCTTGGAAGTGTCCAGGCTGCAAGAAAAACAAAAAAGAAGATAAATAAAAACAAATAATATCTAACTGACAGCAATCATATTTTTCTTTTGAAAAGAATATATAGAGCAAGCATTAAGTTAAAATCAACTATGATGAACAATCAGGCAACATTAATCATCACATAATAATGCAGTAAAAGAAATAATAATATATTCCAAGATATTTTAGGTCAGTGTCACTAAGTCCAACAATAAAAAAATCAATACGACATTCTTTTTCGTAATAACATAGCAAAGTACAGATCCAGAAGTACCTAGATTCAGAACTTTGATCCAGAACATGAGTTTAATTCATCTACACCTTATGAAATCCAGAAATAAACAAAACCCAAGTGATATGCAAAAAATATTTGACTACGGAGGAGAAAACATGCTTAAGTAAATGACATCAGTTTCCCTCAAAAAACCTGTTATCTTATGCAAGATCAATCCTAAATAAAGATAAAGGAAAGCATTGAAAAGTTGATCCCCCGTGACATAATACATTGAAAAACATAGATTCGCAGAAATCATGGCAAAATAGTTGAGCAAAGGATAAAAAGCTAACAATACAGAAACGAGATTCAATCCACAACTTGCACTTTCAGTAATCAAATAGAGATACTGAACCTTAATAGTTCCACCATAAATCATAATACTTGGTCGGTTGAGCCGCCCCATTGCCATAATTGTACCTGGCATCTGCAAGAAGTGCTAGCATAAGACATGGGATATATTTAAAGAGAGAGAGAGAGAGAGAGAGAGAGAGAGAGAGAGAGAGAGAAAACATAATTCATAAACAAAATGATCACTAAGGCAAGCAACCTTGTATATTAAGGGGGGGAAATAGTGGTTAAAGAGCAGATGTTAGAATGGCTACTTCTATGAGAAAATTTTGAAAATTTGTAGGCACTAATTATCATTCAATAAAGGCCCGTTTGATAACCATTTCAATTTTAGTTTTCATTTTTTGTGCTAGAATATAGAGGAAAAAGAGGGAGAATGAAAGTGAGAATGAGAGTGGAGATGAGATTGAGAGGGAAGATGAGAGGGGAAGATGGGCATGAGGAGTAACAAAAGAGAAAACAACATTTAAAAAACTGAAATCTATTTGAAATTGTTTTCAATTTCAAGTTTTTGTTTTCAATTTTGTTACTCCTCCCTCTCATCCTCCCCTCTCATCCTCACTTCATTCTCCCTCTCATTTTCCTCTATACTCTAGCACAAAAAATAAAAACTAAAAACTAAAACTGAAATGGTTATCAAATGGGCCCTAAGTAAATGAGATTTAATGAACTCAGCCAATTTTTCTAGAAAAAATAAAAAACTGAAACCACTTCCAAGAATTATTAGATGTTTATGGGTGTTATTCAAACACCTCAACTTTTAAGATGCCATCATCTCTAGAAAAAATAAAAAACTGAAACCACTTCCAAGAATTATTAGATGTTTATGGGTGTTATTCAAACACCTCAACTTTTAAGATGCCATCATCTCTAGTGCAGAAAAGGACAATCATTACAAAAATCAATTGAAAACATATGCTTTATGAATGCTCTACGACTAATAAGGATGCAATTGAAATAACGTGGCTTAGGAAAAGCTCATTATGAGTGACGAGATGTAACACAGTAATAAGTTGAACTTATAGAATTGCCTCTTAGTAGAAAACACTCTGCTTAATCTACGAACAAATGAACTTTGACCCTACACAGTCATCCAAATATAGCTCCCATACAAACGTTGTCAAATGCTCACATTTTTCTCACAAGCACAGGTACCCCATTTCAGTAAAGAAGCAGAAACATCAACCAAGAAATCACGTAACACTCAAAAAGTTTTAAATAGCCATCATAGAAAACTCAATAACAGAATAACAGAAAAGCCCACATTTTCATCCAAAACCCAGTAACACAATCTAATCACATAATAGAAAGGAACCCAAAACCCCCATTAATCACTAAGGAAACGAAAAAAAATAACAAATTTAGTTCAACCCAATTGAAAGAAAGAGAGAAACTCTCTCACATCTTCGTCACATAAGACATGGAAACCCATTAACTTCATATATTTTTAAAATAATAATCATAAATTTAGTTTAAACCCAGAAAACTTACGCACATTTTTGTCACAACCGGGGATGGAGATATTGCCATCATACCACTGAGCACCCATAACAGTCTCAATGCTATCAGCAATCAAGTCCCTAGATTGCAAGCTGTAGCACATCCCTCTAGTCCCCATAGAGATAGCATCGCTGACCCCAACAGTGTTAAACCTGAAGCCCACCATGCCAGCCTCTCTCACTCCTTCTTTCACAGCCTCCGACAGCCCCAACAAGTGCATATTGCAAGTGTTCCCCTCATACCACACAGAGGAAATACCGATCTGGGGCTTGCTCAAGTCGTCCTCGGAGAGCCCCACTCCGTGGAGAATGGCCTGGGACCCACCTTGGGACTTGGGCTCCGTGATGCGGGAGCTGAACTTGTTGAGCTTCTGGGTCAGCGGTGGTGAGTCCACGGCGATGGACGGTGCAGATTGGGCAGTCTCGGAAATGGAGGCTCTGATGGAGAATTGGGGTCTGAGGTGGTGGGGCCCATTAGATGGCGGGAATAGGGATTTGAAGACGGTGGTGTTGGTGGCGCCTGGAGTTGGAGTGAGGAGGAGAGTGGCTTGCATTATGAGGCGCGAGGGAGAGAGAATGGTGGTGTCGGGTTTAGGAAGAAGGGGAGGGGAGTGGGAGAGTTAACAAGGGTTTTAGCGAAGAAGGAGAAACAGCTAAAATCTAATGCTGTTTCTTCGTGAGTTGAACGTTGGGTTGGGTTGGGTTGGGTTGGGTCGGGTCGGGTGAGTAGAGTTGATAGATGAGTTTCATTCAGGTTACGTTTTGTTTCTTTGCGGGGTTGGGTGGGCAGTGTGACATGTGATTTTTGTTTTTTTGTTTTTTTTTAATTTTAAAGAAAGTGACGTGTGAGTTTTCAAACACATTATTTTGTTTCTCTTTCTCTCTTAAAATGATATACTTGGAGGGAATCCTAAGAACAACCATCTTATGAGATCCAATTTATATATTTAAAAAAAAGGTTAACTGATGATTTGTCCTCTAAACTTACACCTAGCTTTCGATTCACCCATATCCTTTTTTTTAGAAAATTAAGGATATGAACTTCTTCTTTTTTGCCAATTTCCCCTTACCGTCTAAATCATCAACATTTCATCCAATTTTCAGTTAAATCATTTTAAAAAATTATTTTTCTAATAAAAAATTATTTTTCTAAAAAAAATTGAAGAAAAAGAGTAAACCTAGTGCCAACCCCTCCCTCCCCGCAACCCGAAGAACCCAGTCCTCCTTCCCCTTCCATCTCCTCCCTTCCTCCTCCCATTCCCCCATGACCACCATCCTCCACTCCCAGACCAATCCCCTACCCCCACATACCCTTCCCCCTACCTCTTTCTTTTGTATTTTTCATCCTTCAAACCCAGCCCACCCCTTCTCTCCTCCGAGTTTTTCTTCTCCTCCCATTCCCCCATGACCACCACCCTCTATTCCCAGACCAATCCCCCACATACCCCTCCCCTCACCTCTCTCATTTTGTTTTTTTTACCTTCGAGCCTAGCCCGCCCCCCTGGGTTTTCTTATCCTCTCATTCCTCATGTGACCATCACCCTCCACCCTCAGACCAATCCTTCATACCCAGATCAATCCCCCACCCCCTCAGATCCTTTCCTCCTCATCCCTATTCTTTTTGTTCTCTTCCCCCAGTTGAGACCCATCCCCCAGCCCTTGCCCCCTAAGACCTAGACCCATTCCATCCCCCAGCCCTTGCCTCCAGACCCAAACCCATCCCTCCCCTCCTCCCTGGCGGTTGCAACAGATCCCTGCTTCTGCCCCCCACCCACAAAACCCAGTCTACACTTGAGAGAGAGAGAGAGAGAGAGTAGTATTCGAATTTCTGGTTTTTTTTTATTTTTTATTTTTAATTTATTTTTAACGTACAAAATGACCATTTTGCCTTCATATTTAACGGCAAATTAGATGAAATGTTGCAGATTTAGACGGCAATGGGGAAATTGGAGAGAGAGAAAAAGTTCATATCCTTAATTTTCCATTTAAAAAAAAAGATATGAGGTAAATCGAAGGTTAGGTATAAGTTCAGAGGACAAATCACTGGTTTTGAGACACGATTGGAAAAAGAGGATTTAATTTGCATTGTATTCTTATATATGGAGGTCCCTGCTCTCACAGCAATACATGTTCTAAAATACCTAGTCATATTTTCTAGTTAAAGCATTCGGTGCTGAAGAGAGTATAAACCTTCCTCATGTAAGATTCAATTCTTGTACTCTTAGTTGTTATGGTTTAATTCATACAGTAAGTGTAGTTCTTTGCATGAATGACCATCTTATCAAGGTGGGTTCAAAAAGCAACGAAGGAGGAGGTACATGCATAATGCTATGATTCCAACAACAACAACAACAACCTGAAAAAAAACAAAAAAAAACAAAACAAAAAAAAACAAACAAACATGTGCTAAATCAAGTCATATGTTCGATCCTAACTTACTATGGATAGGTTCGCAAATACTTTGAAGCCAGAATCCTAGTTCTAAAACCCTAACATGGTAACCTTAGGTCAAGTCCAACCTAGAGTCAATACCCTTTTGATATTGGATTACTTTATGGGCTTCTTTATTGGGTCTTTTTCTTCTCTTTTTGTGCTCCTTGGTGTCTTACAAAGATTTGGTATGTATCAACATTAGACATATACCATGTTTAAATTGAAAAACTCTTTCTTTTTCTTTATATATTTTGCTGGATGCTCTGAATAATTAATAGAAAGAAACTTAAACATTAAAATATAATAAAGAAACAATTACTTACAAAAATGAAAACATACTAAGGAAACAAAAAAAATATCAACGACATACACATGCATACATAAATCATCTGAATTATGAGCACCAACAGTAATAGGCACCCGTTAATAGTCCAATTTAAAAATGACATGTACACAAGAAATAAAAATTAGTGATTAGCCAACGGGGTCTAGTCAAGGGGAAAATGACATTGACTTACAGCCCAATAGTTTTAGATTTAAATCACTATGGCACCTTGTGGTGTGTGTGTGAAAACACCCATGACCAGTGGCAGATCCAACTCATGCCCAGTATGGACATGCCCACCCTCAAGGTTTTATCACCCATATATATACATAGTGGTAAGGCTCACACACACTTATACACTTATTAAAAAATTAATTAAAAAAGAAATCTAGAAAGCCACTTACGTGAAGGTTGCCTTTCTCTCACTGTCTCTGAATTTTTCCCTTTTTCTGATCCTCAAAACTTGAGAGCCGCCAATGCCAAGTGGACGCCATCAATTATTCAAAGAGAATCCATCTCTGTTTATTAATCTTTTGCTTCTTCTAGGTTAGTAATTGATCTTCTCTTCCTTACACTAATATTTTATTAATCTGTATTATGTAGAATTATTTAAAATTATGTGAACTTGATTTAAAATTACTTCATACATAATATATGTTTATTTCGTACATAATATATGTTTATATTTTTTTGTTACATATAGGTTGTAGCATGTATTAACTATTAACCTCTTAATTAACTCTAAATAGATTAATTTTTGTAACAGTCATCAGGGGCGGAGCTATTCACAGGCCTGAGATGGCCAGGGCCCCCCTACAATCTTCTCACATGCATGACTATATAGAGAGTATAGGCATAGATTGCACAAAAAATCTCATAATTTTAAGCTTGTGGCCCCCCCAAACATCAAACTCTACCTCCGCCACTGACAGTCATGAAAAAGAATTTTAAATGAAAATCAGTGCTGGAGTCGTAAACTCCTTTAGAGATTGGTAGTTCAAAACAAAGTAATATGGAAGTCAATGTGGCATATCTTCCTTTAGATCATGGATTAGGAACTTGAATTTTAGATTACAATATATTCGAGATCAAATCTAAAGAGCATATCTACAAAAGGGTTCATGTCGACCTAGAAGTCATATATTCCCTTTTAAGAAATTTGGAAATGGTAAACGACGGTTCATCTCTTCTTGGTTTGATGATTTTCCTAATTGGTTGGAATATAGTGTATAAAAAAAATTATGCATTTTGTTTATATTGTTATCTATTTAAATCAAATAGTGGAGAATAAGGAAGTGGTGACGCATTTATTGGTGAAGGATTTTCAAATTGTAAGGAGAGAAAAATATTTGAAGTTTAGTTCAAGCAACCAAGGAAACTTTCTTGAGCTTTTACAATTCCTTTGTTATCACCATGAACAAGTTAGAGCAATAACACTGAAAAATTCTCATGACAACCTCAAGTTGATATCACTAAAGATTCAAAAAGACATTGTTAATATTGCTTCAGTTGAAACAACTGATGCTATTATAAGTGACATGGGTGATTCCTAGTTTTCTATTCTTGTTTATGAATCTCGTGATGTATTCGTAAAGGAGCAAATCGTTGTTATGTTTCGTTATGTTGACAAGAAAGGGTGTGATTGAACGTTTCATTGGTATTGAACATGTGGCTAATACAACATCTCTCGCACTAAAGACGTCAATATCAATGCATTATTTGCTAGACATCATTTAAGCATATCTCGATTGCGTGGTCAATGTTATGATGGAGCTAGTAATGTGAATGGAGAGTTCAATGGTTTGAAAACACTTATTATGAAAGAGAGTCTATGTGCTTTTTATGTTCACTGATTTGCTCATCAACTTCAATTGGCTCTTGTGTCTTTGACAAAAGACTATAGCCTGGTGCTTTCCTCACCTTAGTTTTCTAAATATAGTTGGGGAATCATCAAAATATCGTGACATTCTGCGTGAAAAACAAGCTCTCAAAGTTATTGAGGCACTTAGCAATGGCGAGCTCTTAAGTGGGCAAGGCTTGAATCAAGAAATTGGAGTTAAAGGTCCATGTGATGAATCAAGAAATTGGAGTTAAAGATCCATGTGATACTTGATTTGATGGGGCTCAACCTATGGTACTTTGATTAACTTTGTTACCATGTTTTCATCTAATTGATGGATATAGGAAATTTCATATGATAAAGTGGGCACTAATCAGAAACATGAAGCATTTATTATGTTAGGGTTGCTGCAATAATTTGATTTTGTGTTTAGTTTGCATTTGATGATGATTATACTTGGAATTACAAATGAGTTATCGCAATCCTTACAAAGGGATCATGGCGTATGGCATAAAAAATTAAAATTTTGCATTACTATCGTGTTGATCTTTTCTATGATGTGATAGATTTGCAACTTCAAAAGCTAAGGAATCGTTTCACAGAGGTTAACACTAAGTTGCTACTTTGCTTGACATGCTTAAGTCCGAATAATTCATTTTTTGCTTATGCCTTGCTGAACTCTACCCAAGTAATTTTTCTATGGATCAACTCATGGCACTTGAATTTCAACTTGTGAATTATATTGATGATATGCATTCCAATACCAAGTTTCAAGAATTGAACGGAATTTCTGATCTTATAAAAAAAAAATTAGTTGAGACAGGAAATCATAAAGTATATTCATTAGTGTATTTACTCATAATATTGGCATTGGTACTTGTAATTGCTACAACTTTTGTAGAAATGGTATTTTATGGTATGAACTTTGTTAAGAATTGGTTGCGCAATCAAATGGG